TGGCATGCCTAATAATTTGGGGCTTTAGCTGCTTTCATTAAAAATTCTAGATATTATGCCGGTGGAGATTTAGCTGCAGTTGTTGGGCCTAAAATCACTAGAAATCATGTTGAACTTAGGGTTTGAGTTTTGGCTTAAACCGTGTTAGGTAGCCGTTTGAGTAGAGAACCCTAGTTCGCCTTTTCCCGGACAGTCCGGATGAATTTTAGATCCGAGTAGAATAGTTGTGCGTCGGCTAATGCTATGTCTGTGCTTATGTACCCGGATAACGGTTGAACCGAGTTGCACCCAGTCCGACGAGCCACCGGCCGGTTCAGATTGAGTCATCGGTCCAGTTCAGCCGAATCAGTCCGGACAGTCCGGACGATTCGAGAGTATCAGTTCAGAATACCAGTTTGAGCGTGAACCGAGATTCAGTATTTTTTCAAACCCAGTCAGATAAGTCAGATCAGTATAAGCTAGTTCAGATAAAAATCAGATCAGTCAGATAAGCTAGATCAGATAAATCAGATAAGTCAGATAGACCAGATCAGATAAATCAGATAAGCAGACAAGACTTAGAAATATTCGGAGAACTCTTGAAAGGCCTTAAAGTCAGCAAATTTTCCAAAATAGCTCAAGTCCTCTAAATTCAGATTAAATGATTTTATAATCGAGCGAGAGAACTTAGTAAGATCATATAATAATAAGAATCAAGTTTTCAGTTTGAGCTCAGTACTTAGTACTTTCTGCTCAATAATTTGTGTAGCTTAAGGAGAGTCGAGCCTCCGACAGCTACCATTCAACCAACACTTGCATCAGTAGCAGTTTACCAGGTTGGGGTCACATACTGGTTATACGTCGTCTTTAATTTCAGTACCATGTCCGAGGTATGTATGAGAAATAGTTAGTTCATCATTGAGGGAGGCCGTGGCGGGCCTTAATGATCCCCCGTAGTTCTGAGGGAGGCCTTAACGGGCCTTAATGATCCCCCGAAGTGTGCACATGATTGGCTTTAAGCCCAGGGTCTTTATGACCACTAGATGCCCAGTTACAGTTTCAGTTCAGTTCAGTACATATATACTCAAGTCATGATATAATTATTAACGATGTTGTTTAATTAAGTACTGGTCTTTCCTGAGCATAGTGGTTTTGCTCACGCCCCCATTACGTTTTTCAGGTGACGGAGCGGTGCGTGGCGCGTGGTCATTAGCAACCTTTTTGTAACGCATTTACATGTCATTTATTGAACATGTATTATTATTACTATGCGTAGACATATTATGTTTCAGCTTCCGCACATTTCAGACTTAGTAAGTCTTATGAGAAATTCAGACTTATGCATGTTTAATGCCTTTATCTCTGTGGTATTTTTATATAACGAATTTGATTAGGTTGCATGTATTTGTTTACGGATGCATGAAAAAGAGTTTCAGTTAGTAGCATCCCACGAGTTAGTATGAGTATTTTTGAAAATAAAGTTAAAGAGTTCCTCGAAAATAAATAGCAAAAATTTTACTCTGATTTTATTATTTCTAGAATAAGTAGGCGGGGTGTTACATAGCGCCCATTGAAACATAAATTTCAATTTGAGGCCGAGGATCGCGGACACACGGTTCCATGTTCTGAAAGCGCTCATTCAAATGAGCAACATAACCTTTCAAGCTTTCGTCCTCCTTTTGGACGATGTTCGTTATAGATTCTTTTGGTATTAGGTAGACTTAGACCCCTATAAAATGAGACCTGAATTTCGACTTTACTTGTTGCCACTTCTAAATAGAATGGTACGACAACGAATAGTACCACTTCTGGGCCCTTGGACCAAGATTCAGGGGAAACATACTGCATCGCAGGGCGTCCGAGGCCCCGTGCAAATCCATCCAACAAACATAATGACCGATGTGGGCGTCGGGGTTCGAGGCCTCGTCATATGAACCGATCTGGGAAACTTTAACTTTCCCCAATAATGGTCCCGCTATCAGCTCTGTTGGAACCCATGAGGATCTCGATATGCACAAATCACAGACAAACATTCAACATAAACCTATGCGCAACGGATCTAAAGGTTTGATGAAGAAAACTTACTGCTTAAAATTTATGTAGATCTGGCTGGCCCGAACAGTTGACCGCAAATCAAATCTTCTCGGAATCGAACAAACTTGACCAATCCAGAAAGCTGACGTCACGGCGAAGTCAACGGCGTTGACCGATCAGAAATTGGACTTCTCACGCGCTCTCACGCGCGACGACAAGTTCCAGCAGCAGCTTCCTTCAAGCAGCGCGTGCGGGCGCGTGCGGCAGCGTGCGGCGGCAATCTCGACGGCGATCTCTTCGCCTCGTCGTCCTGGTCATCGTGGTATGGTCACTTGCTGGTTTTGGTCTCCGGTTTGGATGTATGATTAGAATCTCTATATACCTTAAGATCTTCTACTGTATTCTCAAACAGCTTTCTAGATCTTGTATCAGTGGAGCACAAGAAATAGAAGAACTCCTTGGAAGAGAGAGAAAGAGAGCTGGACGTGTTTCCCAAGGTGTGGGATTGTTCTGTTCTCTTCCTTGAGCCTAATGCTGTATATATAGAGCTACAGTAGGGACCCTAAGGAGAATAGGATAAGGACTTCTAATATATTAATACTATGGAGCAACCCCACAATTAATATATTAATAATATTAAAGTCCACCACAATAATATTATTGCACTCCCCTCACCTATCCCAAATTACATTTGAGACTCCTTATTATAATTATCCGATTTACCTCCCCATGTTTAAGATACAATGTCCGTTAATTAATTCGATCACTAATAATCAAGAATTAATTAATATATTATAT